CCTTCTCTGGTTGGCTGCCTTCCTTTCCCGCATGCCATTGGATTGCAGAGAGACACAGGATTGGCTGAGGCCAGGTGGTCAAATATGTCTGCGCCCATTTCCGACGCCACACCACACCATACCACAATCGCAGTACTATATCACGCGTGACTGGTAGTGAAACGTTGGGACTCGTAGACTGTTTTATGCAGATAGTAATTTTTTTTGACATATCTTTTAGTTGTATAGCTTATTTTTCTCGGTTGCATGATTTTGGTTTTTGTTGAAATCATGTCATATTTCTTGTTACAGTTCAGTCAGTAACATTTTGAAAATGGCGGTGTCTTTTGCCGTCTATTTCTATTCTGGTTAATTTCCATCTGTGTCGTTAACGTCACGATGTTACGAATTATTATGTTTTGCCATTGAAGTATCCGGAATTACTTGGTATCTTCAACACGTGTTTAAATCCCTTCAGTTTTATTTGCTGCAAAATGCAATAAAAGTTTTATTAGTCAGGCATTGATGTCTGTGGAGAATTCACTTCTGTATGCTAAACATCCTTCCCTTTGCTTTTTTACAGCTTACTGTACAAGTTGGTTCGAAATGTATTTCCCCATTCACACAAGTTAAATTAATTTCTTATGCATGCCATGTTATGCAAGCAAACTGACGCTTTTGTCACTTTTAATGAATTAGTTGTAGTTATCGGACTTGAGTACCGCTGTATCTGTTGTCAAAAAGTTTCCCTTAATTGTCCCTTCAGCTATTTGCCAATGCTGTGTAGTAGCGGCGGTGACGTAAAATTCCAGTTTTTCATGCTATCTGAAACAATTCTGACGTCAGTTATTTTATTTGCCTTTTCTCTTGACTGTTTCCTTGTGTCGCGTTTTGCTCAATGTCTTACTATCGGCCGTTTCCTTTTAGTCTGTAACTCATGCCAATTGTTTCAGTGCCAGAAAGGGTTATTTTTCAGAAGCTTGGACGCCACTACCGTAGGCTGTCGTATTTCGGATTTTACTATGTGCCCCTTTAGGTGAAGAGGAATTCACAAATCTCTGCTTTGCTTATGGCTTAGAACTGGATGAAATAGTAGGCTTAGTTGTAATAATAGTTGTGTCGTGTCTAGACTACGGAACAGGAGCTAGTTGCAAGGGAACAGGGAGCTAACGTTATCACAGACAAGAACACTGAGACTATCTACAAGGTTGAAGTACCTGCCAATCGATATGACCTGCTCTGTGCTGAAGGACTCACCCGAGCTCTTCTCATCTTCCAGAAAAGGTCAGCTCCCTAACTACTTACCCCCATTTATAAACTCCTGTTTTTTACTTACGTTTACTGTTTCCGGGTTCAGAACTATAGTTGTTTGTCAGATGGCAGCTGCGATTATCTACCAGACTCTTTGCACTCAACTGCTCTTAATTCATAAACCGTATTTAGGATGAGTTTAACTCATTACATCTTTGAATTCTTTAAATTTTATAATTTCTCCAATTTCGTTACTGAAACTTTAAGGACTGAAGTTGATTTAATTTCGCATCTTTTGTTTTAGACTCGTTGCTCCAGAGTACCAGGCACAGCTACCAATGAAACCAATTCAAATCAGGGTTATGGAAAATGTGAGTTCAATAATTGGATGTTACCATCAACCGAAGGCCGTCTAGCTAGATTTTTTATTCTAATCAGTTAACAAATGAAAGTAAAGAATTTTTACTGTTCTTATAGGTACAGTCAATTCGTCCATTCGTTGTTTGTGCTGTGCTTAGGAACATAGCCTTTAATGAAGATCGTTATGCCAGTTTCATCGAGTTGCAAGATAAACTTCACCAGAATATATGCCGGTGAGTTTTGGTTCTGGCAAGTTTTATATTTTTGACGATCAAGGTCATTGAAAAGCACAGGCACTGGTATTTTCCACAAAATGTTTACCTCGTGGCTCACTTTATGTTAAGCACGGCAATGTAGCGTCTTGCGTCGTGAGCTAAATCTCTACACATGCACAATACTATTCTGGGTATAAAATAGACCAATAATGTTTTGATGCTTGTTTTACACCATTCGGTTTCCATTCTTTCACACTTGCCTTTGGAACTCTAATTTAAATTAGGAAAATAAGCCATAAGTCTGCAAAGGCTCCACGTACTTGAATGAGTTTGGATCGCCGATGTGTGAGTAAATTGAGGATATGCTCTTAAACCAGTCTACTCCATTCCATGCTATTGTCATAGCGACTGGGTAGTAAAAAATTAAGTGCTTTATGTGTGTTTTCTTCAACTTCATCAAAACATGGGGTGCTGGGTTGAAATCTTGGCGAAATCCTCGATTATAACTTCGACTTCCTTGCATCCAAACTAACACACAGAACTCAATTACTTGTTATCATTTCACACTACTAAAGGAAACGGAGCCTCGTTGCGATCGGAACTCACGACTTGGACACATTGTTGCCGCCGTTCGTGTATACTGCATTGCCACCTCAAAGCATCTACTTCCAACCCCTGAACCAGACCCAGGCGTACACTTCTGCCGAACTCATGGATCTCTACTCAGTGAGTTTGAATGCGTTAAACTGCTTTACTGTTGATCCCTTTCGCATTTAATTCATGTCATTTCGATATGTAGAAGGATTCTCATCTGAAAGCCTACCTCGACATTATTCGCGACAAACCCGTCTACCCGGTGATAAAAGACTCTCTGGATGTAGTTCTTTCATTACCTCCCATCATAAATGGTAAATCATTTGATTTCCATGCATTGTAACTGGACAAATGTAATTTATTTTGTAACTTCCAGGTGAACATTCGAAGATAACATTAGCAACAAAGAACGTCTTCATCGAGTGCACAGCCACCGATCTCCACAAGGCCTCCATTGTTCTTGACACAATGGTCACAATGTTTTCAGAATACTGCGCCCACCCTTTCACGTAAGATTGAACCTCATTGCCGTCACAGCCGTCACCATGATTCTACTTGGGTCTCGGGCGGGGGATTCTTCTTAACTTCTTAACTTTCCAGGAGATGTGCAAGTGACAGCACTAGGAGCTAACTAACATCCTTGTGACTGTCCAAGCCGTTCACAATCCACAATAGTGCTATCCATTCCCGACAGATATCTTTAGGTGGACGATCAGTAACAATTAAAAACGATCTCTTCTACTTGGACATTACTTTGCCATTAATGTCTACCAGAGTTTAGTGCCTGTCATTCTTATCCATGTATTCATTGTGATGCTTTAGGTTCGTTGATTTGTCCGTGGATCAATTTAAACGTGGAATACCATATAGGCAATAACCTTGTGATAGTAGTACTCTCTTACTGCATTTGCCATATTTTCCCTTACGAACTTGCTTTCATTTAAAAGCCTCTGTATTTTGTATTTAGTGTAGAGCAAGTTGAAGTCATTCAGTCGGACAGTGGTCGATCATATTTTCCCGTAAGTTGTTATGGTCAACACATCATCTATATTTTCTAATTGAATCTGTTGTGGGCCCCGGCATGTAGTTTCAGACCACATGCCGGGGCCACTGTGTTGAATCTGGCCCGATTACGCTGCCGTGATACCCACGAAGAGGAAGGAGATTGGAGACACAAGCGTGTTTACTAGATAGCTCAACGAGAATAATTTGCATGAATTAACACGGTTCACAACTCTATTGGTATCAGCATGTAGCCTCCCCAACTTTGTTTTCTTTTTTGCTCTTAGCGCCTAGAGTACCGCAATGAAATTGTGAGTGTAGACTACATCAATAGCCTTCTGGGTATCAGTTGCAGTGAATCAGAGATCAGCGACCTTCTTACACGGATGAGCCTCATTTGCCGGATCGCCGATGACACAAACTCGCCACAGAAGCCTAATGGTACTGCATTCCTAGCAACCAATTCGGCATTGATATAATTTTTACTTTTCACTTAGCTACTCAGTAAGGGAAGGTGACCAAAGTGTTGCATTTTCAAACTTCATCCCGCTTCTTTAAAAGTGAATGAATATCACCTGGAGTTGGCACTCGTTAGATATTGTTTTCCACCAAAAAATTATGGAATCAGTAATGACTGTTTTGCCTTCTTACCATAACAACAAGTATAGTGGTCACTGATGTCTTTCAAAGACTGCTTTGTGTGTGCGTGTGTGTAGAACAGCATTTGTGCATTCGCAGCTCGCAGCAGTCTGCTGTCGGTGCGGGTGCCTCCCACCCGTCACGATATCCTCCACCCCTGTGACATTGCCGAGGATGTAGCCATCGCGTACGGCTACGATCGGATCGAAGAACACTTGCCCGAAATTTACACCATGGTTCACGATCAACCACTCAACCGACTAACTGACATGATTCGCGCCGAGCTTGCACAGTGTGGGTTTACTGAGGCCTTGACGTTCTCTCTCGTGAGTTCGACTGTCTCTCGGAGTAATGCTATCGTTCATTTGTGTATATAACGAGTCTATGACACTTTTCTGCTGGTGCATCAGGTTTTTGTGTTTCACAAAAAAATCTTTTTAACGGCGTATACTCCACACATTTCAATGGCATTTCTTCGTTGAGCAAAATTACTACTCATTAATTTAACCTGGATATGAAGCCTGGAATCATATCATCACTCTTTTATGGCCCTATGTAGCAATACAGAAAATGGCCGTTCTATTACGCCATCCGCAAGTTAAGTGGCATTGGTTCTAACGCCCACGCGTCGCGTAGTTTAAGAGGCTCAAGTGCTGAAGCCTACCTCCGTGCTAACCCCACACAAAATTACGTATATTTCGCCTAATTTAGTGTTCGCGAGCGGATATCAGTACGAACCTACAGAAACCTCTCGATCGCCAGCCTGCTGTTCACATTAGCAACCCCAAAACTCTCGATTTCCAGGTGCGTTTTTCTTAGTAGTGTGTTCTTCCTCGCCCGTTCTCAAGTCGATGATGTGGAGGGCAGCAGCGTAGAAAGTTAGCAGCCTGAACCCCTTGGTTATACGCTCCCTTGCAAACATTGAGGGACAAAGCAAGTTTCAGTCATAAAACCTAAAGTAAGTCTTGTTCGTTTGCTTAAGGTGATGCGGACAGTTCTTCTCCCGGGCCTTTTGTCAACGCTTGCCAATAACCGAAGCCTTCCTCGGCCGTTGAAACTATTCGAAGTGCAGGACGTTGTGATCAAGGATGACAATAAAGGTACTGCCGCGAATCAGCTTTGTCATTAGTTAATTCAATATTCATAAATCAAGATTCGCACTTGATACTTACTTTCTTGGGTTGAATGAATTTTTTGCTTTAAGATATCTTTTTTTTAACCACGCTGACTCAACCCCTCAGCGTTTTTTTACTGCATAACTACTTAACCAAGCCCTTAATCTCGGCGCATCACCTAAAGACTTCCACACCTCCTGCTCTATTAGACGTTGGTTGTCGCAACAATCGTCGCGTGTGCGCAGTTTACTGCAACAAAACGTCCGGCTTCGAGATAATTCACGGTGTTCTCGATCGCCTAATGCAAGTCCTTGAAGTGACGTATGAAGAAAATGCCAAGCCCAGAAGCCTCTCTTATCGTCTTGCAGAGATAACAGGTAACACCACCGACGACAATTTAATCACTAACGTAACACCAACCAACCTAGAAGACACGCCGGTGGCCTGCGTTTATACTGGTTTCACGCTTCTATGATCTAGATCTGCGTACTCGTGCACTTTTACTTGGCCTAATCACAGTACTTCACTAGAACCCAGAAACGAAAAAGTACCATGTTTCGTTGATATTTCCTACTAATGTACATCATAACCTCTTTCTGCAGACGAAACCTACTTTTCGGGACGCTGTGCAGACATAATCTTATCACCTTCTGAGGTATCTATTGGCCGTTTGGGAATTGTTCATCCCAATGTTTTGCGGAGCTTTGGTCTGACCTTCTCCGTTTCTGCTTTGGAATTCGATCTGGAACAATTTTTGTAATTGTGTTCGATGTACAAGATATATCGTGTCTAAGGAGCGCGCAATTCTGGTCCCTTTTATTCTTCATGTATACGTGGCTGCAAATCAGCCGAAGTGACCGCCAACGCTTACCATTGCTGAAGGAGCCACTGAACTTACGCTCTATAATACCTGTATCAATGTGGCATCTAGTACAAGTACGAGTTCCCATGTAGGCAGTGAAAAGCTATGGCCTGTATCAGCTACTCAGGAATAAGTGCTGCCCTCTTTTTTCAAAAAAAATAGTCTACCTTTTTCACATAGGACACTGCAAACACATGTTTAGTAATTTTCTATTCTTAAACATATGTCCTCCGCGTGCTCAAGGTTCTAGATTAGCGTGACCTCCTCAAATTCAGAAACCTACGCGCGGTTGCATAATGAAATTACCAATTTTCACTACCCTTAAGAGCATGGTGAAGAAGGCGTTGCACAAGTGACCTACTGCTTATCACCAAAGGCCGGTCATGCATAAAGTTTGTAGACTCAGGTCGTCGAAAGAAAGACTTACGCCCTCGTAAATGCATTGAGGTTGATCTCTTTGTTAATGAGCACCAGCGATGATAATCATGTAAGTATTCAGAAACCTGTGGGGGCCAACGTTGGGGGCGCCTTCAGTCTGCAAACTTCCTGATATTTTGGGGTGAAGAAAATGTGCTATTATGAATGGAAAAGGGCTGTAAACTACCACTCGTGTTTTCAACATTGGACCAAATTCCCATGTGCGGTTCTTTAGTGTGCGGTTGAGCGAGTCCACTGTTGGTAGATGCAACATCAATGATGTATCGGTTAAAATTATCGTGCAACAATAATGATAATACCATGATAGTACATACCTTATGATGTATTCCATAAGGTATGTACAGCATATTTGGTATCCTTCCATTTAAAGGACATAGTAGTATAAATGGGTGGAAACTGCTGTTCTATCGGACGAGTCGCCAACTGGGTTGCTTGGCATTTGCGAGGACAGCGCGAGCCGTCTCCTCCCCGGCAGCTATGTTTTCGCACAGTCCCGCGGCGAGGTGTTCGGTGCTTAGGCAGCTCTCCTCTCCGCCGACGAGTTTCGTTAACATCTCCATCGGTCGGCGTTCTCCGCCGTGCCTCAGTACTGTATCTCGGTATTTCTAAAAGTTAGAGGCGCGGTTTGCTCAGAAAAATTGCTCCTTCGGAACGGTTTCCAACTGTAGGCAAAACACATGTGATGAAGTGTATGCCAATCGCGGTCACTCCTGATGACAATTAGAATAAAGCCACACATGTTTTTGGTGGCGAAAAACGGTCACGAGACCGGTTGAGTTTCGATCGCAGGCGAACAGTACGAACTTTACGTCAAGCCGAAAATCTTCTAGGGAATTGCCGCGTTTGAGAATACCCAAAACGCCTCCACCATGTTCGAATAGTTGAGGAATTTCGGACCAGAGCTCACACGCGAAGCACGTGTACAAATGTATCCGGAAGCGGTCTTCCTTACAGTCGCGGTCAACGTTTTTCTAGCCTGTGGTTGCCAAAATTAACCATCGTTGAGGTTAGATGGCATGGACCGATCTTACCGAAGGATTCCCAAATGCCATCAACACAAAAGCATCTCCCTACGACGCCCACTACTTTCCACCAATAAATCGGTACCAGCCGATCGGCGCAAACACCGACGATTTGACCTCCTCGGCGACACCACACCGCTTCAATCCTCTCCCTGGACTACCCATCTTCCTGTTACAGTTACGACAGACCTTTCAGAAATCAGAAGAGGTCTGTAAGTTCAACAAAGCAAATAACCACATAGACTAATATCCTACTTTAATTGCGAAAGTAGCGCCTGATTTACCTTAATTTGGGTTGTGTTGTCTGGATAAACACACTAAGCTCTGATATGTCAAACAAATAAAACGCCTCGGAATAGGGTACATTCGTGGTATTGAGGTACAAACGTCTTATAAAAATGATGAAGGTCATTGAAAATAGACAATTAAGTCGTCTGATGTGTGGTTTGCGTCCAATTTAGGATTACACGGAGCACTGTTCCCTGGGCTGTCGGAGTTCGACTGACCATGATAGACAAGTGAAACCATGAACGACTACTTACATGGAATCGCATTAGTGCATTGCATTTACTTCAAGTGAATACACTGCTTACGCGACCGAAATTTGACGACCAGGGATCACCAGCGAAGCCCTTTTGCCAGACGAGGCCAGCAGCGGCCCGAGCCAAGAGGTACGCGTAGTAGCGGCCCGCGTAGCCGCAGAGGTGACTGAATCGGTGGGTAATTGCGATGGGGAGATGACTCAACAATGGGGGCAATTCTAAGCACAGCCATTCACCACAGTTTTCACGCAAAATATGCTCGAAAAGGCGTGATGATGGCGGAGTAACTGAGGAGGCTCTACCTTCGACGAGTGCGAGAATCTCTGAAGGAGGCCCGGAGTGCAGTCGTTGGTCAAGCATAGAGTGTATGAGCTAAATGTGGGAGAGGAAGAAAAAGGCACATCAATGTGTGTTTCAAAAAATACACCGAAAATGCATGCCAAATAACAGGAGAAATCCAGAGCGGTCTCGATTTGCGCCCCAGGATAGTGGTGTGTGCATGAGATTCCAAATCATGGGTGTGCGTGTGTGTTCCTATTAGCAAAAGGAAATTTGCAAAGTCTAACCTGCTGCATCACTTCCACACTTTGTCCATATCCGCGGCTGCTGCTGAGCTGGAACAGGGCCTTGATGTTTTCAGGGGAACTCGGTGCCTCTGCCGTATCAAAACGCCGTGCGTACTGGGCAGTAACGCGATTGTCGAGAGCAAAGTGTTCCATCAGAGTTGAGGGCAATTCAGCCAAATCTGTACTACATCTTAAAAAAATGGTTCCAAAATTCATGTACAAGTTCTATGCATTAAAAAAAATTGTAGTCGAGGTTAAGAGTAGAGTATTTTAGCACAGTATAAATGAACATTACTTTCGGTACATGTTGAGTGAACTCTACCTAACCTGTACATTAATATTAATACATGGAAATACCATTCACCTAAATTGCATTAAGAGGAGCATAGTTGTACATTTGCGTAATACAAGCGTTTCGGAATTAAAAGTACGGAAACTGAAGGGGATTCAGTATTCCCCAAGACGGCTCATCGCAGGTTAGGATTTCGTCATTGGTTACACAATTCCCCTAACCACGCAACTCCAGTGGGTGAGTCACCCACGGCACCCTACTGACAGCTCCATCTGTGTTGACGCGCTTCATCCATCAGGTGCATTCAGACAGATCACTCGGCCTTTGACTGAGGCATTAAAAGTTCTTTGCACGAGGCCCTGCCTTGTCTTGCATTAGCGTGGGAAGCTGTGGGTGCTGGCGTCTGATAAGTGATCTGGGGTGCCGGCTGTCTGAGTGTGGTCTTGGTTATGGGCAAAAAGTAACAAATTGAGACGCATATCAATTCGTCAGTGGCCAAACATGCAAACAGAGGCCGGTTTACATAGCATTGTTCCATGTGTTGGTGCATAGTTGACACGTACCTTGTCCCAGTAACGTGCTGATAGCGCGTTCTCCCGAGGACTGAATGAAGTGCATGGCCCCATTCATGGAAGAGGTTCTCCACCTGGGCCGGAGATAATAGAGTGGGCGTATCACCCTTTTTCTGGGCTGGACTCGGACCCAGGTTCAATTGGATCACCACAATAGGGAACTGGTAGGGTGAATGTGACTCAAACATTGTGTTCTCCGTGTGACGTCCTCCACGAATAGTATAATGACAATCCTTGTGCAGAAACGGATAATACTTTAAGTCGGGACTGGAAACCGCAAACACAACTGATAACTCGTACCAAAACGAAAATAAGTGATGAATGAAATGGCACTGCGCATAGAACGACTGGTCAACGATCCAATTCGGAAACATTTAATGCAAGAACGAGAGTTAAGCAAATGTATATCCAGTGGTTGCTGACTTAAATTTATACAAGGAAGTAACCAAAAACCCCGCCTTGCCACAAATAAATGCATGGGTCGGCAATCGAAAACGAGGTTTGAGGAGCCCCGAGGGAACTGTACAACCAAGACATTTTGACACGCTTGTGACTGTCTATTAAGTATGATTTCAGTTTTGAGCATATTACTAAACATTTTCTGGTGTGTAAAAAATGTACACACGCCAGGAGTATAAAAATAAGATTGGCGTAACATCGTACTCGCTATATGAAGTAACGGCTTTTTCCAGCCGCTCGATTATCACACAACGCTAATTTAGCAACTCACATGTTTGAAAGCCTATACCCACAAAAACACACGACCGTAGACATCTTCACGTACTCCTACCATTGACTTATGCTTTTTTCTATTAATAGATTAGACGGTGTTACGGCACATTTGGTCTTTAAAATTTAAACAGCCGGCAGCTACACACAGACACGTCTGTGGGGGATTAGTCTTCAACTCAATATATCGACTTGAGAAAAACTAGTGACCTTATCTTTCCTATGCAAAGAATTCCCTCTTTGAAAGTGAAATTAGGCTTGAATTGATTGTTAAATGATAAGTAAGACAATGTTACGGGGAATATTGATTTACCCGAGAAGCCAACTGAGAAACAAGCCATATGGAAGGAGAAAGCAACTCACTTGTGACATTTTTCCAGGTCGCTGAAAAAAGTCACAATAGATGGTGCCAACCTGTACGCCTGGACCAATAGGGTACTTGGCTTCCCAGGGGTCGACCTCATTGTCATTAAGAGGGTCTGACTGGGCCTCGGTTGTGTAGGCAGAGACTTTAACAACGTCAGGATGCCACACCTCACCCGGCAAAGCTGGTTCTACCTGAAGACGTAATCCAAAGAGACAATCCGACAACTGGTTTACACCCTCCATACAAGCTCCCAAGGAGAAAAATGGTAGAAGACTCTAAAACCGAAAATTGCAGCATCTTTGTTGTACAGCCGGAGACTCGATGAATCGGTGATTCTATTACCCGTGTCGACAAGACGAGGGCCTTTTCGTGCAAAACAGCCAGCCTTACAGTTAAAGAGGAATATCCAATATCATAGACGTACACTGAGTATAGTGGGTCAAAAAGTACTACTGGAGGTAAAGCACCCCGTGCTTTACTAAATCATTGAAATTAATAAATTTCCTGGAAAAAATGAGTAAGGTCCCCGATTGTTTCGAAATTCTAGAGGATTTTTTTGGAACTCGTTACCATATATACTCATATTTACGAATACGAATACATTTTAAAGACTACGCGTAGGGACTACAATTTTTAACATACTTCATAAACATTTAGATAAGAACTAATCAGATTTTTAAATTTTGTCAATAAAAGCAATACAAATTTCAGGAATTCAAACAGCAGACAATCCATGCAACTAAATGACAATTTAATGAAAATAGGCAAACCAGCACCTACACCGGTTCATGCTTCGAATACGCTTCTGTTGCCCGAGTGCAAGGCTCAAGTAAAAGCAAATGGAAAGAGGTACATAGGAAAAACTTCAAAATAGGCTAAACCTCAGTGTCTATCCACTGCTGACCACTGTGGATAAGAAAGGGAATATCCCACGGCCGAAGACGATCCATATTAGGTAAGTCCTTGATAAGTTGGGATCGCGCAGTCCCTGTGGCTATGGGTGACAACAAATACGAAACCTTCTTGAGAAAACGTTCAACGCGTTCCGGCGATTCCGCCAAGCTGGAAGGCTGCACTGCACGGTACAGGAACGAGGCCTTACCTGCCGCCCTAATGAGAATAATCGGGCGTAAAATCGAATAGGATGCTCACTTTAAAGGCTATCGAATGGAACTGTGGGTGGTTAGTTGGAGAAGGTTGCGATTTCAACCAATTATAATATTACTAGCAACGATTAGTTAACAACACTTAATGGGTAAATTTACACATCCTTGGTGATTTTGGGTCTATGGAAGACCAATGAGGACGATCATCTTTGAAATTAAAAGGGCCTCAATTACGTGTTTCAAAAGGAGAATAACCGATATTAACTCACTAGCGAAATAGTGAGAATAAATGAAATGTGTGAATGAAAGCCAGTAGAGCACCTTGAACAACTACAACCCAGCGCGTGATGCATTTTTACGGTGCTAAATTCTTACAAGTCATCAAGGAGGCAAAAAACGTGGGGCTACATTCGAGGAAAATAGCTTTCGGTGTGGTTAATTTGAGTGGTAATTTCCCTTATTTACCTGCACAAATACTCACCGTGCTAGTTTATCACGTGCTTCAAGTAAACTGATGAGACGTTCCTCCTGGCCTTCAATGGGCCCGAAAAAGAGCGCATAGCTAAGAGCTCGCAAAAACGGTTGAGAAGCATCATAATAAGGACTAAACAACCGTCTACCGTTAAAAGGAGTCCAATCAATGTCCTTGGAAATGCCACTTAACATTTCCGGATTTAAGACAACTGGAGCATGAGCGGCCTAGACTTGAGTAAAGTAAAGTGGTTGGGAGCAGCCTACCTTGTTGAATGTTACACTGAGTTCCAAATTTTGGGCGGCTGCATCGAGAAAAGACATGCGATCAGACGTATCCTTTAGATGCACACCAGTTTGCTCGAAATCCTCAATAAATAGGTTGAGAACCCTCTTGTCGATTAAGTCGGAATTCGCCTCTGGAGTGGTCAATGAGGAATTTGAGGTTGATGCAGCATGAACTGCAACTTCATAAAGCCTGGTGTCGGTATTTAAGCTTTCAACCAGGTTGCCAATGCTAAAACAGACTTCGTTGGCTGCTTCCTGATAGCTTGCATCGGGATGAAGGGATCTCACACAGTCGGCCAAATCAGCAACTCGGCACAGACAATCAGACAAATCATCAAGAACCTTGGGAAATTTAAAAACACTGGAGAAGTGAGACAGACTATAGAGATTTTGATCAAGCCCTCAAACATGGTTGAAGCGCTTAAAATCATTAGAATACAGACAAGGTAATAGAAATCTATATTAGTTGGTAAAATTTATTTTAACAAAACTGACAATTTCGCCATACGCTATTTGAATTTGTACTCGAAGTCTATTGTTAAATTAAAAGATAAAAAACAGAAAATTGAATATGTCTGGGTGAGAAGTGAAAATTTCCCCGAAACCACAGGCGTAAAACCGAAAACACAATAACATGCATCGATTGGGATAAGATAAGGGATCAGCGAGCTCAATCACATATTTGGTATTCTAGCACTTCAGGAATTATAATTAGGATTTAACTTCCGCAATTCACTTAAAAAACATGCAACAAAAAATTCAAATTGAATACCTGAACCATTTTCCGCTTACGGTTTGGGTCTTTTGCTTCATAAAGAAGCATATGGCAGTCACTGAAGCACTTATCTAGTGCTAAACGAAATCCACCGGCTTCAGACAGTTCAGCAACTCCGAATAGACCTTTTTGTACAGGAATATACAAAATATTACCAACTGACCAGTAACTTTCCCATCTTTGTTACTAATCACTTCTGGTCCGTAATTAAAAGCATCGGCTAACGGCGACAGACCAATGTGCTTAAACCTGCAGAACTTGCCAAGGTGGTGTGAACGGAACAAATAAGCCAGACGAAGCATCGTATTCAAGACAATAAAGTCTAGAATAAATAGATTAGAGATAAGCTAGACTGGACTTGTAGAGTATCAATGTGCACAAGACAACTAATTTGGCCCAGTCAGTGTAGTGACATTAATATATTGGACGCAGACAAATTTGAAAGCGGCGGCCTAAACCAGTGGAAAAGTTCAGTAGTGGTTGGCTGATGCAAGTCAAAGTAAACCTCAAGGTCGTTAAGTCTATTCCTTGTCTCCCATTTAGATGTGTGAATCCTGTTATTTTTTTAACAGCGAGCAGCATAGACATTATTGTATCCACTAGATGTCTGCATAATCACAAATTACCAACTAGAACAATACCCCTTATCCTCAACAACGTCGCCCTGTCCATCATCTTCGAGTTAACAGAACACGTAATTTTGATAAAGCTTGGCAAATCACGCTAAAATAACGATGAACTAATTATTAGTTATCCTATTATAAATGCACCTAACCTAACCTGCTGCTTTAATTAAAAACCAATTGAATTACAGAAGCAATTTCAGGTGACGTCTTCCAGGAGTTGGCGTTTGACTGGTGGGCCAGGAACATCGATTCGTCCAAATTGCCTATTTATCAGATAATTTAGAAATGCAGTTAAGTGCATTTGTCAGTGTGTTAAATTTCATTACAAAACCACTTGTGTGCATGGTGGGTGGCATGAAATTATCACGTTATATACCTTAATGCAATGTAATCCGCGTTACCTTAAAGTGGGCATTGATAAGCCACTAGGCCGGTGAGTCCTACTAACGTATGAATGCACTTACCTAAATATCATTGAAATCTTTTTCTGTGGAATTCTTTGAATAGATCTTTGATAGTCTTACGGTATTTTGTGTAGAGAATAATGGTCGAATGAAAAAAATCAGGCATAAACGGCATGAAAATTCCATTAAATATAATGAAATGCGCGTAATCACTGTTCACGTTGATAACTTAAGCCAAGCTCATTACGTTTGTCATCACAGTTATCTAGCGCAAATAAACATATAATAAATCATTGCGAATTAGGTCGTCGATTTTAGTGTTCTCAACTCCCCTAAAGCGTCTTCAATGAATGCTGAAAACGAGCACTAAGTGGCAATATTTGCCCACTAAAAGCGAAGTTAGATTTATCACAAATTTAAGCATCATCGAGCTGACGAAACATTATTAAAATGTAAATTAAAATGGCCAACGGCTTCATTCGGACATTAAAGTAATACAGCTTTACTGGATGTTTTAGAGTAATCAATTAATGGTCTTGCAACAGCAACTTTATTATGTGATCGAATATCATGTCTGCAACCCTTAAGCACTTCCATACATTCACACCATGACATCCACATTAAACGCGAATATTCTATTGCACCCAAACGCCTTCCAGCTAGAAAGATGTTAATTTACAGGGTTATTTACACCAAAATAAATTATGCTTCAGCTTGTGAAGGGATCAGTCAGACAAGCTAGCCTGTGTTAACGAGTATGTAAAGGTTACAATTTTGAACGAATTTTTAGATTGAAACGTAAGTCGGCAACTTCGCCACAACTCTTCAGTCCCCTGAAAACGAAGGCAAAACACGGAGTCAATTAGGTAATCCACATTCCCTCTTTCTGAGAATGCTTTTAGAGGTAAGATCAGAGTCGATGAGCTAGACACGCATTAACTAACTTCTGTGTTTGGTCATTAGAAATGGTGTGAGGTAAAATTTTGTAGATTTAATTAAGTCATATATTGTCTTTTAACACGTCGATACCCAACCATGGGGCTGTCAGTGATAACTACTCTCATTTCTATCAATTTCACACTTCTAATCTATGCATTTTATTCTTGTTTGCCTATCAGAGCGTCTTAAAATTCGTTCAATAAAGAAAACAGTACTGCTTAATTCACAAAAATATGTAATTTTGCTTCACAGTTTGTTTGGATACTCTCTAGCTTGCTTTTTTGTAAACAAGCTAGAACTTTTGTTCAGAATATTGAAGATATTTACCTGTCCTTCATATATGGCTATCTGCTAGACGCCTTTGAAGTGATCCCCGATTTTTAATTAAAGTACCACCCTAAAATCATCCGATTATAAATCTATTGAGGTCAACATTGCTTTACAGACTTTTAATATAACATTGCAGAATACCTGAATCTTCGTATGAAGGAGACTGGTGCAATAGAACAAACTTTATTGACTCAGTCACCATTTACTGAACCATAAAAGTTTATTATTGTTATATTTCTACTCTAGTTATAATTTTTACCGTAGTTATATTACCATATTTTGGCTGTCTTCCTTTTAATATAGACTTCGGGACAACATGTGGCGTTTATATTCAAAATATGCAGGCTTGTGAAAATGTATGTGGGCCACAAAATAGAGTTCACGCTTTCCAAGCATGCCAGTGTTGATGATTTGAAAATGCCAGTTGTGCTATTTTACGATTTGAAAGTTTTCATATAAATAGAGGTCTGATAGCAGTTTTAACAGAGGGTTAAAAACAGTATCAAGTAATTAATATGCAAGAAAGGAGTAGACTTTAGGTGTATTTGCTGATTATTCCGTAGCAACCTCCCGCATTCGTTTTAATCTACAAAGGAAACAGATAAGTGGCCATGAAGACACACACACACACAAGTCTGTAGATATTAGACACTTTCTTTCGCTGGTAACTGTGATACTAGTCTCATGCCTTTCGTATAGTTCGAAAAGGTCAGTTATCCTGCAAATTATGAGTCATTTACATCCTGCAAAAATCTGCCAATAAGAATAATGCAAACCCTTCGAACTATACTATGAGGTAAACAGTGAACATTTATCGCAAGTATTACTAGTATGAATTTTGCCCTTAAGCCTAGATAAGATGGCTAGCACTTTCAAACTAAGTGGAGCGACTTAGCAAACAAACTTAATAGGATATCTCGATTGTGTCTTCAGCTCGAACAAGTCGGACTTTGAGATGGTATAAGTTGAACCCTGACGCCGTCCAACAATCCTTCCGAAGGTACTTTGGTAATAAACAACTGTGCCATGATATATTTTTGAATCGCTATGCAGGGACACTGCATGTTTACTCAAGAAGAAGAGAGGGTAAGGTTTTTTCTTTGTCTATTTCAGAACCGGTCCTTGTTAGTAACCGATTCTGTAACCATAGGACCTACAAGAACTTTAAAATCAATTGGGGTAGTCAGAGGCAGGAAACAAAAGAAAATCCTAGTGCCCAGCTTGTATACGATGCTTATGTGACATCAAATGTGAGAAAGTGAGTTTTCCTGTTGGAAAATAATTAACCAAATACCAGATATTCTGGCTTGAGAAGGCTGCTAGGGTAGGGGAATGTAAAGGATATTTTCAGCTAACAAGGTTAGTAATTGTACCATAAAGCATATACCATTCAATCACTATAAAAGCAACGCCAAACCTTTCATACCCTAGGGTAGACATTAATCGGCATCGTTTGGAGGTTACGTCAAGGTTAGCAAGGGAGCCAAGGAACAGCTCACTGCCCATGGGAGATATCCTTCGAGGTGAGTTCACTACCGAGTAATTAGAGTTAATATCTACCGTTGGTGCAAATTCATCTGTATCGAGAACAACACCACGGCTTAAGGGAGGAACGACATCGAACAAAGCGTCAACGATTGAGTACGAAACCTACAATGAGAAGACCTGATGAAATTGTCGGTAACAGCAGTGAATAGCAACATCGCAAACCACAAAAAAAATTAAACTCGATTCCTCTCAAGACGTTTTAGCTAATATCGATTAAATACGATTTAATTTAAACAACCATCTTTAGCGACATCAGGAACTAGGTAGCAAGTTGAAATTCATGATATTGGATCTATTATTGTAACGTAAATGAAGTTTAAAAATCAAAATTTTGTGCAGACCCGCACATCGGCTGACCGTTCCATGGGCTGGTCTAGGAGTATGTGGCATGGTTAATCATCTACTGTCTTAAAGCCGAAATCTAGGCTCAGTCCCTTTTCCATTCACTAAAAAAGTTTCGACTTCTTTCGCCATGCTATGTGGTAGAGATTCAACAATTCCTCAGTATTATGTGCTCAACTTGATCGGCTTGTGACTCTGGGTCGCTGAGTAATGGGGCCCACAATAAGCATTGTGGGCCCTGATTGCACTCCGTAAGTCAACTTCATGCATAATCATAACCTGTCTTTGTTAACCATTTGAAGTGGAATCTCAAAAGTCAAGTTAAGCCTGTGGAAATCCAGTTGAGGGGAACACTTGCAGCCTAAAGTTAAAAATTTGAAAGGCGGTTCGCAGTAGTCTCAAAACTTCGGAGTTTGAGTACATACAGGTTAGTTAATCTAAAATTGATAATTTCATTTGAAGTTAATAAAACATATCTGATGGAGAGGCAGTGTGTTGAACATATAGCAAACTTACATTTAAGTTGCGCTCGATAATTTCGTCAAGTTCAAAGTCATCCTGATCTTCGCCAAATGGGTTTATCAGAGATTCTGCTACCTAAATTTACGAGTGCACAAACTTCACTTAGTTAAAAACATGATCATTTCATAATGATAACAGTATCATGAAATTTTATCTAATCTTAAAAAAATCAAAAAAATGAGCAAGAGAGGTCTAAAGATCCAGAACGTATGAAATTGGTACAATTGGGAAAAAACGCCACGTCGCTCGTTCCAACGTCCCTCTCAATCGGCTGCTAAATAATTCCAGTCGTTATTAACTCTTCTATATAATCTGAGACTCTACAACCAATTATGATCGCATCACATAAACAATTGGCGTTGGCCCCAACATCAAAACCGACAGCAGCCCACTACAAAAAAGAATCATAGAGCCTTAAACAATTCGAATACTGAAATACTTGTGAAAAGTATAAGACAGCGGCCTTTTGTTCCTAGAATTGGCCACATTTACAGCTCACGAAATGGTAGTAACGACGATTGCGTGTGAACATTAAGTGGTCACCGCCCAGAGTGCTTATAGAACAGCACGCAAAACAACAAATGGAGACGTATTGCTAGGTTAATCAGCAGATTCACACCTAAATTCATACAATTAAACAAGTAGAAAAAAAAACAACTAAATCACACCGAGTCTGAGGTCACGGTGAAGGTTTACTTCTTTAGCTGAGGACAGCACTGGGCACAAAATCATCGTACCTTTAGCCAACCCATATAGAAGAGAAAACGTAGAATTCCAAAAACTGGAATATATAAATCGATTTGCTGTCCTTGAAGATTCCGGGACGGATCCAAAAATTGCCAAGCAAACAGCGATGAAATAGTGTAACTATATACGGTCAGAGTCGCAACCTAAAATAGCAAATACAGAAAATAGTAAGCTTTTTTCCATTAGAGGCTCACTGATAGTCTTCCAAACTAATCGTTCATGTTCCGAAAATTTATTACCTGGATGCCGTGCTTAGCTGCAAAACAAACTACATTCATTTATTATGCTTTAATTGGTTGGATTGAAACTTTTAAGTAGTTGAAAAATGCTACTCCAGCCAAAGGAGGCTAACGCGCACTCTTACTACTCCGAGGAGACTTCATGTGTGATTTACCCAATACCTTGCATAAGTATAAACAGACAAATTCAAGATTTTCCACTAATACATAAGTCAAACATTATCCCAAAGCGCACCTGAGTGTACACCAGTGGTACAGAAATCCAATCATAACATAGGATATCTCCAAGCCGAGAGCGAAAACGTGAAAGTTCGCGAACAATTAGTTCAACTGAACGGTCGGAATTTATCGACCCCTCTTTGCGCATATTGTGAACGATTTCTTCGGCCCAGATACATGGTCCAACATAACTTGCTGGTCTATTTAGGGGAGTGTTTTTTAAAAACATCAATAGCTCCTCCACATTAGTCAAGCCTGCAAGAGTGGTAGATTCCATTATTCTGATGTTAACTAGATGCCAATCCAAAAGCTGCGTGTACGTGTTTCGCTGTTATTACTAAACCATTATTAAAATCTTAGATTTTGTTCTCAATCCTTTACGTTCCCAACCATAATTTCATATGGCTAGTTTGACTTACAAACAGTATAATTTATACCTCTGTACAATAAGGAACCCATGAATTTTACATCAAATGTGATTAAAAACAAGAGGTTCCTAGTTTTGTGAAAACCAGAGCTTGATTTGGATCTGCCCACTCATATTTATCTGCCAGTACCAATGAATACTAAAATATCATTGGCTCTCTATTTCATTGGTAACATCTGGAACCAAGAAAAAAGAGAGACATGATTTAAGATGCATATGAAAATATTTGAACCTATGAATCACATTTGATTTAACGGACGGCAAAAGTAACGGTTTTTTTTAAAATTGCAGAATTATACATTAAGCATATAGTAGACCACCTCGTCACAATAAAATTGGACGTGTAAATGACAATGTGGACCACTCCTTGTAATGTGAAAGCTTACCACTGGAAATCAAATGAAAATCAGAAGGAAACCGAAGCCGTACACGGGATGATATGCCACGGTTAGCAAAAACAAAAGACAAATTCACATAACGCATAAGTGTGCGGCGTTGAATTTTTAATTTTTCAGAGTTCCCTGATGTATAAGCACAGAGAATCATTGCCAGATCGTCAGGCCAGGGAATTGTCTGAAACTGATCCCACCAGCGTCTTACAACCGCATCCACAAAGAACCCCAGAACGAAGTATACTGGAATAAAATCGCCAAATTTCTCACAAAAGAGACAATACATCTCAAAGTAGCTAAAAAATATACAAACAAACAAGCAAGATGCATTATCTAGGGTTAAGATAGTCCAAAGATAAGACTAATTATAAAATAAAATTGAGTGGAATTTCTGCTAATGAGATAACTGGGAGCGATTATTTAAATACATGAAACCAAACTGGAATATGTTGAACAAGGCTTGAGTAAAATGCATCCATGACTAAGGGTCCTCATTTCCTCATATGTTGAAACAGAATCCTTAGTATTACAAAAAAATTAACGTAAAACTTTCACGAATAAATAGTACGCAAATTCAAAAAATATTTGCATTGTCTTCGAAAAAACTAACCACTTCAATGTATTGTTCATTAGAAATCGGTAAGTTAGTGAAATGAGTGTGTATAATCCAGAAAAAAGCAGAAACTCGCACCAAATGCATCGATAAACACTTCCTTTCCATCTAGATACAATGCATTAATATTGGAAAAAACCTCAAAAGCAATTTTTGAAAGACAAAAAAAGAGTTTGTAGCAACCTCGTGAGAATAAGTAATAGTCATAATACAAAACAGATAATTGTTTCCGCGAACCAACCAATGACATGTACAAATGGTTCAGTAAAACGATATTCAGAAAAAAAACAATTTTTAAAAAAACTTTGCATAAGGCATTAAAAATTCAAACTTTGATACAAGCTACAAAAGTTTATATTTTAATGCATTTACTTAGTGTTCAAAACCAAATTCGCAAACATATTTACATTAAATTATTGGCTCATTCAATAATCACTCAACAATATCTGCCCTATAGCATCATTTAATCAGACTTTTGTATTATTCTAAACAATATGCATTAACACATGTACCTTCTAAGCAACTCCAAAAAGATGTAAACCTAACAAAAAAGATATCCAAAGAGGTCCACTGCTGACTTCGTGTTTCTTAGCTTGATGAATAAACATCAAAGCATGTGTGTCAGCATCAACGTTACCATTGTAGATGACAGCCTCACGAGACTGGT